GTAGAAAAGACTCGGGGAAAAAAAAATCATCATGATTCAGTCAATAACCAGGGCAGGACTGCCATGTCTAGAAGGTACATACGGAGCATGATTCTATGTATCTGTCTTTCTGCACTTGTTGCCTACTGAGAGAATACAGAGTTTTATTAGAAGGTTGCTGGGCACGATGGCTTACACCTGTAATCTCAGCACTTTGGGAGGCCAAGGCAGGCAGAAAACCGAGGTCAGGAGTTCAAGACCAGCCTGGCCTACCTGGTAAAACCTCATCTCTACTAAAAATACAAAAATTTGCTGGACGTGATGGCAGGAGCCTGTAATCCCAGCTTCTCAGGAGGCTGAGGCAGGAGACTCTTTGAACCCGGGAGGTGGAGGTTGCAGTGAGCTGAGACTGTGCCATTGCATTCTAGCCTGGGTGACAGAGTAAGACTCTTGTCTTAAAAAAAAAAAAAAAAAACAACAAAATTTGCTTCCTTTTTAAGGCTAAATAATATTCCATGGTATCGCTATGCCACATTTCATGTATCCATTCATCCATCAGTGGACACCTGAGTTGCTTCCACCTTTTGGTTCCTGTGAGTAATGCTGCCATAAGCATGTTGTGCAAATATTTTTTGAGCCCCTGCTTTTAATTCTTCTGGGTATATGTCTAGAAGTAGAATTAAGGGGAACTTTTTTTTTATCTTGAAATTTTCATATGTTTTAGGAAAAACGAAACAAGCCTTGAAGCAAATATACCAAGATGTTGACAACTTTCCAATTCTAGAGGTTGTACTACTTTTTTGCAGTTTTCTCCACTTTGTAGATTTCTCAAAATAAACAAATTATAATAAAGAAGAAACTCTTTTAAAAGAAATCACATAACCAGAAAGACTAGAAACTAAACCAGTCACTCTTATGTATACAAAAAAAAAAAAAATCTTAAACTACAAACTAAAGAAAATCAATAACAAATAAAAGAACATTCTATGGACCCAATGAAGCTTATCCTGTGAATGAGAGAATGAAGCCTCAGTAGGGAGCAATCTATTAGAAGTCACTATTAGACTAAGGAAGAAAAGTCTCATGGTCATTTTAATAGATGTGAAAATCTTATTTGCTCCAGTTAGTTTGATCAATTCTAATAAAATACGCTTTGTAACATGGATAAACTCATGTTCTTTAGAAGCAGCTAAATCTGGCTTTTGGAGCCAGATGCCTGGATTCACGTCCTCTTTCTGTTAGTGACTTGGTCAGTTACCAACCTCCTTGTGCCCCATGACCCCCCTGTAGCATGGAAATAATGGTTTAATGTGAGGATTGTATGAAGTTACATATATAGAAAGAGCCTAGAACAGTGCCTGGCACACAATACTACACAGTAGACACCAATATCAGTGTTTGTGTTACTGGCATTGTTACAATAAAAATAATATTTTTAGCTCAATATCCTCAAGATTATGCTCAAAGGTGACACTGTACCAAAAACTTTCCATTTACCTCAGGAACAAAGACTGTTGTCTACCACCATTTTTATTATAGAGTCTTGAAACAACATAAGAAAGAAAAGACAGTTAACAGTGATATAGATTAATTAGAAAGAGACAAAGTGCTATTATATGCTGATGGTATGACTGAATATCTACAAAAGCAGGGGGGTTTTTTGTTTGTTTTTTGTTTGTTTTTTAAATGCCCATGCACGTTTTATTAATAAAAACTAACCAGTGCCAAGTTAAACTAGTCAAACAATTAAAGTCTCTTTATATTCCATAAAATATTACAGAAAAGTTTGTGTTTCAATAAAAAGACTATCATTTTAGAACAGGCAGCTAATAGCAACTGTGCAGTTAATGAGTTTTATGAATAAATTTTAAAAGAGACTACTGCCTGTCCTTAAATTCCTTTTTCTTTTTATAAAAAAAGAACTATTAAAAATGATTGACAAATTTTGAGCTAAAAAATTGCTAAAACATTCTCTATATTTAATTTCAATTTTATAATAGATTACAGGAAGATACTTATGAAATAAATACATTTGTTTCAGTACATGTCTTTAAATGATAGAATTACAAGTATATAAACAACTATATAATAAAATGTTTCCAAACGCTGCCTGCAAGAAATCAGGCAAATTTTACCATAAGCAATAAACCATTCCAAGCCTTCCAGATAGCCTCCATAGCCGCACCAGCGTGGCAATAAGCTTTAACCAAACAAAAACAAAGAAACAAAAGCACTTTGCAATTTGTTGCTGCAAAATAGGGAGAGAAAAGAGTGTATAAACTTGATGGAATCACAACAGTCAATATAATTTAAGGGACAATAAAGTCAATAAGGTTGATGGTGTTTATTGTTTAGAAAACTGAATTCTGCTGTTTTGCTTGGGGCTGTTTAGAAAGTCGAATTCTGCTGTTTGCTTGGACACGGTACCACTGAACAAACTCCACAGAGTCTCACCATCTGCCAGCGGGGGCGCCGCCCAAACTCAGGCAAATAAACGGCATCAGGTGATCACCATCCACAACAGGAGGGCGTTTCATTTTCATGAATGTGGATGAAATACAATTGCTTCAGCAACTCAACAAAAACTGTTCAGCGGCAAAAATGAACTCTGCACTTGAAGAAAAATAGAAAATGAAAACACAAAATCCTAAACAGTAAATAAACACTCTGCATCTGTACACTGGTATCAAAACACACATCCACAGCACGTCCTAATCCTACGGGAAACAATCCTTGCTTATCAGAGGTGCATATCTAAATTCAATAGTTTACCAATATCTCCTTGGGAGTAGGCCAAAAGGAAACAGAAAACCCACAATAAAAAAAAAAATTCTTTCCCGTAAACGTTTTCCTGAAGCTGAATTTGAAGTGGGGAGAACGTCAGTCGTCCTCCTCATTCTCGTTGAAGACATTAACCTCCTCGTCCTCCTCCCCGACTTAAGACACCAGGGTCTCCACCCTGGAGCCGCTGTACTGAGACCCATCGGGGCTTGTGGCCAGCGTCCTAGCTGCACCGTTGGTCAGGTCACTGGCAGAGAACCTCGTGCCGTTAGACGTGGAACCTGCCATCGTGATGAACACGCCTCCAACGTTCCCTGAGCCATTTCTGTCACGTACGGCTCCAGAGCCTTTCGGACCAGACTTCTGGCCATTTTAAGGTCTTCAGCAGAGCAGCTCCCAGACTCCAGCCCGCAGGCCATGCCCATCTGCTTCAGCGCTTCTGTGTCGTCGTGAATTTCAAATGTGTTGTCAAAATTAAACAGACACTCGAAATTGTCATTGTAGATGCTGCAGTCGATGATGGTCTTCTTGCTGGTGTTGATGATGATGAAGGGCAGGTGGATGACCAAGTTGGGTGGCAGCGGCTGGCTGGCTTGCTGCTCTGAGTGCCGGTTTCTCTGCACCAGGTTCTTGAAGGCAATTTGCTGTAGAATAAGTTTTGAAGTTGAGACTGTTTCTCTTTTATTCTTTCAAGTCTCCTCTGTCTTTCCACCTCTAAGTTCTGACATTCCTGAGCCGAGTTGGTGGGCAGACCAATCCACTTGATCTCCTTTTTCTCCTTGGAGATGATGTTCATGGCCATCAGCACGTTTACGGCATCGTAGAGGCGCCGTCGTATGCTGTTCTGGTCATAACCTGACTCGTTTGGTAAGATGTGGTTGTCGGCAGCACTGAACTCCGAGACCAGCTCGTCCCCCACTTCGTTGTAGGAAGTGGTCCCATTCCTCTGAACCTTCTCGCAGACTTTCATGGAGAAGTGCCGCAGGCCCTTGGCCATTCTTCTCTCCTTTTCTGTTGCGCTTCCCGGCAGCCCAAGGTGAGGAGTCGGAAGGCTGGCTCTGAGAGGCAAAGTGAGTGCTGGGGATGTGTGGGCTTCCTACCACCAGGGCGTTTGACGCTGCTGGTCTCTGAGGCGTACCAATTACCACTTGCTGGGCAATGTTGACATTGGACTGTCCAAAGGTTTTTGCCAAGAGCTGCTTCCCGAGCGGGTTGGCGGTGGAGGGGTGAACGGCCACGAGGGACACCACGACTTTTCCGGGACTAAGGTTTTGGCCTGTGAAGACCTTGAGTTCTCCGTTGGCTTCAATAAGACCGGCATCTTTTGCCATGTTACCAGATCCGGGAAATCAATGCTACAAATGTTCACCTTCCCAGCGAAGAAAAATGATTTTTCTGGCTACCCGGTCTGGCCGCGCCGGCGGGTGCGTGGAGAGCGCACGGTGTGGGGCGCTGGGTGGCGCTGGGAGGGGCGGGGTGGCGCGGGGAGGCGCGGGCGGGGGCCAGGCCGGGCAGTCCCAGCCCTGGTGGGGTCCCAGCCCTGGGCTGAGCGGTGCCAAAAGCAGGTTTTAACTGAAAACCTCCAGAATTAATTTTTTAAGTGTAGAAAATTAACCAGATACAAGATGTACACATAAATAAAATAATAATTTCCTTGCACATTACTAAAATACAAAGAAATCTAATCTAAATTATAGCAAAGTGTACAAATTATTATACTAAACATATATCCTCATGTGAGTGGCTTTATAAACAAAGCATCAAACTTTGGGACAAATTACAATAAATTTGAATAAAAGTAAAATATAATTCATTCCTGGATGGTGCTATTCATGTTACTGTGGGATATGATGAGGTTTCTCTTCAAATAATGTGATCTATATTTTATTCTTTAATTCATAGTACCCCCTCCCTTTTTCTCCTTTTTCCCTTTTTGCCTTTGTTAGATGCCCAGGCACGCCACAGTACCAGGCATTATCAGTACCAGCTGACATCCTTTCCTTATTTGAGAAGAGGGCTAACTTTCTACCTCATTACAGACACCCCTTCCCCTTCCTCTCCATTTTCTTTTATGTGCCCACTTTACCTAAAAAAAATCAAATGTTTACCCAACCGAGATTAGTTTAGATTGTATGACCCGACCCCGACCAATGGGGAATGTACACAGGAGCAGGACTTGTGTCAGGAATAAAGGCTCTGGTGCCCCTTTGTTCAGGTGTGCTCTCATGGCGACTGGCCAAGGAGGCACCCCTCTGCACAGAAGTAAAATTGCTTTGCTAAGAATCCTTTGTCCGAGATCAATTTCCTTAGGATTTTGAGTGTTACTCCTAACATTATATTATAAACATATTGGTTTACCTAAATAAATATATAGATTGAATACAAGGTCAAAAATAATTTCTCTGGATATTTTCTTGGAACTGGAAACAAATCCCTAATAGTCAAAAGAAAGAATAAATAAGATAGACTACAAAAAAATTCTGGGATGTGCTAGTTCTGCCAGATATTTAAATGTATTGAAAATCAACAATAATAAAGAGCAACGTATCGGCACAAAGGAAAATAAATATTATGATCCCTGTGTGTGTATATGTGGGAATTTTATGTATAACAAACAAATGAGCTATCAAAAAAAAAAAAAAAAACTCAGAAAAGGGAAGAATTAGTCAATATAATGTTTGCAAAATCAAAGTAATTTAGAAAAAGAAGGAAGACCTATAACTCATACAAATCTAACATGTAAATAAATTTCAGCCAGATTTGGGATTTAAAAAAAATTGACCACAGAAAGTTAAAATGAAACAAAAATGAATATTTAAAAAGTGATAGAAGTAATCACAAAAGATAGGTAATTGATAATATTAAAAGAACAGAAACATCTCTATGTTCTCCAAAATTTTTGTTTAAAAAAAAAAAAAAAAAAAAAACAGGGAAAACATTCTGGAAGTATCCTTATCAGCCACATTGCAGCAAAGTGACATTCTGTTTCCCTTTCTCCCTCCTACTCTCTCTCTTTCCCCCGTACTGTGTTAGGAAGTGGGACATGCATAACTCACCTCCATGCCTTCCTCACCTCTGAATGTGCTAGACCCACAGTACATGCGGAACTGCTGAACTGAATCATTAATTACATTAGTGGCAGAAGGAAAATGGCTATTTACAAAAGATGGAATCCAACTAGAAAACTGACATGTGGAAAAAGGTTTCAGCTCCCCAGTGATCAAAGAACCCCAAATTAAAACAACCAGGCATTTCTATTTTTCACCTATGTCATTAACAAAAAGCCAAACAAGATCACAGCCCCATGGCCTTAAGCAACAGGACAGCCAGGTTGTGGCCGCTCCTGCCCCTCACTGGAGTGGGAAGCTGCTTAAGATTTACCGCAATGGTTTCAGCATTTCTATTTCTTTGATTTGCTTATAAAAAACGCAGTAAAACCCAAGTGTAAGCAGCTTGGCGGCCAGAGACCGTGAATGCCCAGTCTTTCTCTAGCAGCAGTTACTGAAAAACCTCCAAGGGCGGTTTTAATTTCCTCTCCTTGTTCATCTGGGGTCTGGTTTCCCAGGCAGCCAAGGTACTGGGTGAACACAGAGAAACCCATCTATCAATTTTGTGGCTGCCATAGCATGGCGATTTTGAATCTTGAAATAAAACAAGATTAATGGGCTTAACTTCAGTGGGTCTGACATTTCAGCGACAAGGGCTGTATTCGCCAGGTTTCTGCACCTCTCTCCTCTTTGTTTCTCAGCCATTTTGTAATCTCAAGCCAGGTCCCTTATGTTCCCGGGGGCTCCTGAGAGAATCATGTAAAAGGGACATGTAGCATGAGCTAGGAAAAGACAAATCACCCTGATCTCCTCTCTTCAAAGACCAGTGGGAATTTCAGTGGGAAATGGGCTCTCACAGCCATGGTGTTGGGATAAAGCATTAGTCATTTAATGGTGTTGGTAATCACTTTATCCATCAACATGCACTTACCGTGCGCCCAGCACTGTACAGCCACCTGGGAGCAGCGAGAAGCGAGACACAGGCACGGTCACAGCACAAGGGAAGCCAGGTGAGTCAGAGCGAGTCAGATGCTGGGGACAGGACTCTCGGAGAAAGTAGGACTTGAGCAGGACTTCAGAAGAAGGGACATTTCTTCAGGGAGGTGAACAACATGGGGAGATGTTCCCAACTGGAGGACGAGAGGTGGCATGCAGAGATGGGTGTGGGAATGCCATGTTATTTCAGGTCACCATGCCTTCCTGCCTGCTGGTTCCTCACCTAAGACTCCAGCTCAGATCCAGCTCAAGATCCATTCCTGGGCTCCCTTCTTCTTCAGAGCCTTCCCTCCCCCTGCCCCAGAGAGAAGCAACTGCCCCTTCTCTATGCCTCCTCTGCCCCCGACTTATGTTCCCACTGTTACACTCTACATTGACTTATTACTATTATTTCATTGTTTGGAGTTTTTATTAAATTACTATTTACACTGCCTTATCATTATTATATTTATATGTCTGTCTCCTGTGATAGATATTGCGCTTCCTACAAGTAGCAGCACAGTGTCTGAAACACAGTAGGTACTCTGAAAATATTTCTTGTACTTAATCAAATTAATGAAAACTAATTGGTATACAAGTGAAGAGGAACTTGGACAGTGCTGACGGAGAAGGGGAGGAGAGCAGAGCATGAGTAATAGCAGCTAACAGCTCACCTGTGTATGTAGCATTCACGACTGGCCAGATATTTAAGCACTTTGCATGTATTCATTAATTTCATCTTCACAACACAGCTATGAGAAAGGTGCTGTTAATATCCCCATTTCACAGATGAGAGTGTGTAGGTGGGGAGGTAAAGGAACTCATCTGAGCTCTCTTAGCCAGCTAGGGAGCAGGCGGGGGTGGAGCTGGGCCCTGGAGGCAGTGGGCTGGCTGCGGAGGAGCTCGCTTTAACCATGATACCTGATGCCTTGCTGCCCCTTGTCACTACAGGTCATGTGGGCTTAGAATCCTAAAGTCTGAGAGGGAAATCTTGCCCTATTCCCTGTTCAGTATAAGAACGGCCATAACTAAATTTAACAAATGGCTGTATATTTTCTGTTTGTTTAAATTCAAGGTTTATTTGTTAACAAGGCAACCTATGGTTTAAAGTATAACAGAAGAAAACTTAGTTTACAAAAACAAACAAACAAAACAATGGGCTGGGAGCAGTGGCTCATACCTGTAATCCCAGCACTTTGAGAGGCCAAGGCAGGTGGGTCACCTGAGGTCAGGAGTTCGAGACCAGCCTGGCCAACATGATGAAACCCCCGTCTCTACTAAAAATAAAAAAATTAGCTGGGCATGGTGGTGGCCACCTGTAATCCCAGCTACTCAGGAGGCTGAGGCAGGAGAATCGCTTGAACCCAGGAGGTGGAAGTTGCAGTGAGCTGAGATGGCATTATTGCACTCTAGCCTGGGTGACAAGGGCAAAACGTGAGAGAGAGAGAGAGGAAATGCATGATTTTTATCACTTTGGGATTAATAATAATAATAAGACTGTGCTCAGCACTTGCCGTACATGATCTTATTTAGTCCTTCCAGCAACCCTTTGAGACAGGTACTACTATTATTATCTCCATTAAGAAATAAGAAGACTGAGGGTTTGTTACACTAGCAACAACAACAACATAAACTTCCAAGAGCTAGGGAATCATGAAAATTTTTAAAAGAGATGCTGAGATGCTAAAGTTAAGGTTGTACAAAGATATATCTGAAAAACATGAAGAAAAACAGGCGTTGCAATATCAATATCAGCAAAAGTAGACTTCATGGGTAAAACAGAGGAAATTGTCATTTTTTGTTGTGAAGTCTAATTTATAAAGGCATGAATATTTAATAAATTGCATTGTTAACAAATAAGATTGCATCAAAATATGTTTTTAAATAGAAAGAAATGAAAGGCATAGCAATGAGAGAGGTCAATACACTTCTTTAAAGCTTCAAAAATGAGGAAGGTATACAATAATAATATAAAAGCCTTAAATAATAAAGTTAGTAAGACAGACTTAACACATTGACATTACAATCTGGGCCCTACAAACCTTACACTTTGTTCTAGTGCCAATTTATGGCCTATATTGGATGACAAAGAAAATTTTAGTTAAAAAAATCTCTCCAAAATAGAAACTACATGGACTCATTTTCTAAGTCAAATGAAATTTGTATTTTAAAAATCCAATCACTTGAAAATATGAAAAACAAACAGTATCCTAAATAATTCTAGGGTAAAAGAAAAATTGAAAGAGTAATTATTAAATGGTTACAAAAATGAAAATGAGGAGGCTACATATCAATACCTCTGCAGTAATCAAAAACTGATTTATTGCATTAAGTGTATTTATTACCAAATAAAAAAATAAATATAAATTAAGTAAATGACATATATTACAGACAAAAAATGAAGGAAAAGAGGAGGAAAAATAATGATATAAACAAAAATTAATGATTAGTAAAAAAAAATGTAAAACTGATAAGTTCATCCAGAGGCTGCTTTTTTCATTAAACCCATAAACTATGCAAAACTTCAG